CGAGAGGGGCAGGATCCCGGACGAGGTCGAATGGAGGCGCTGGCCCTGCATGCCAAACAGCAGCGGGAGCGACGGACCGCAAATGTCGACGTCCATGAGTCCGGTCTTTTTGGGGCGCGGTGGGGTCAGCTCACCGAACGCCATGTCGGTTGGAGGGGGGTTCGCCTTTGTCAAAGGGGACTCACATCGTTCTCGCCTTCCTCGCCCTCGCTCAGTGCCCATCCCAGCATGGCACTAACCGTACTCTTGCCCACCCCACCCTTCCCACTCAGGACCAAGATCTTGTTCTTGACGTCCTTCAACCGGTCCTGCACGGCCGCGAGATCCGGATCCGGTCCCTTTGGTGCCGTCGAACACGCGTCCTGGTTCGGGCAGCCGGCGCACCCCGGTGCGAGACCAGCCTGTTCTGACTCTGTGCCCTGTTGTTGTGTGGTCGGAACAATCAGCAAGAGAAGGGAAGGCGGGCAAGACGAGAGACCCCCGAGATGAGTAAGCGAGGACCGCTCAACAGCGGCGAATCAAAGTGACACGTACGGGACAGTGTTCCGGAGCGTTCCTGTTCGACTACCAGCGTCAGCATGTGCAGTAGGACTACGGAGCACCGGCGTGGACTGACTCTGGGATGTGCGACGGCAACAAAGTGGCGACAGCCTGAGCGGTCGCTGCTGCAGGTTTCGCTGATGCCTGCGCGGGCGGAGGGGTCGGACACGCGGGCGGTAGAGCTACCGAGACTGCCATATCGTCGTCTACGAGCTGGTTGTAGGTCAAGCGAGAGAGGGGAGAGAGACAGTCGATTCGATCACATCAGATTGGGAAGCGAGCTGCTCGCGCGGAAGCGGCGACCGCGGAAATTGCGCCGCGAGTGATTCGTCGCTCGCTCGTCTCGCGCGCTCTCTCTCTTCCGCACTGTGCTGGCATAGCGGAAAGTGAGAGCCTCTTCGCGCTCTGGCCTTGCCGGACTGGCTGTGACTTCGTCCCCGCTCCGCCTCGTTCCACCTCTCCGAACGGGGATCCGCCAGGCCACACTCCCGCAGAAAACGACGCCTTCGCTGCTATAGGAAGCTCATTGCTCAAACGCTATGCTTCATTCCGGGGGACTCCCTCGCATCGGGACTGTTCAGCCGATGCTTCGGTATCGCGAACGCTCGGGGCATTTGATTCCCGAAGACCACCGTTTCGGCGAACGGGTCTCCAATCACCCGCCGCATGATTCGGAGCGCTCGCTGCTTTTAAGAGTCATCCTCGCTCCTCGAGGATGAATCCTGTCAGCCACTCTCGTCTGGCGCCAACAGAGCGCCTGCCAAGCCAATTGTCCAAAACGCCGGAAAAACAACACAACACGGTCTCGTCGGCCTCGCCACTGCGATCGCAGGCTTTATGTTGCGCGCATATGGATTGTCAGGCTCGCCCTTTTCGCGTCGCGCCAATATCCCCGGCATCCTCCGTCGCCTGCACAGCACACGCTCCTTTACCGCGCAGCACGAGCAAGATGGACATGCTCCGGACGCACGCACTGCGGCTGCCTTTTCGCCAACGTTCACGCCAGGCTCGACTTGTCAGTTCGGTTCTTACTGCTGGGTGAGCTGCGGGCGTCCGAGCGGCGGAAGCACTGCCCGAGTCAGCAAAAGCCAAGCGCACGGCTCATCGCCTTTCGGGGGATTTCCCCCCCCCCCCCCCCCCGTCTAACTGGCACCGGCCTGCTCTGTTACTCCCTGAAGCCCCGGCGCTCAGTAGTCGGAAGGTGCTCGGAGCCATGCGACAGGTTCCGCCTCCTTCAGCTACTTGCGGGCATGACGGTGGCGGACGGATACAGGTGACGGAAATCGCAGAGAGCAAGAATTTGCGAAACGAGTCTATTCTCGGTTGGCCCCGTTTTGTTTGTATGCCGGTGGTTACGGAACGTTTCCAAAGACAAAGAGCCCTGGCCCCGTATACATAGAGGAAGGGGAAAAGTTTCCAGCGTCTGCCGACGCGCGCGGAACGGCTCGATGAACTTGCTCTCGGTCGGGAGAGCGGCGAAGCTCTCTAGACGTGCGACTATACGCACCCTTGACTGCTCTACAAGCGTTTCGAGCCCTTCCAGAGCCTCTGGACTCTGCGCAGCTGCTCTTGCTCAGCTCGCCGCGCTCGACTCGACACCCTCACGCGACACTCGTTCGCCCGAACGGATCGCTTGCTTCCGACCCGAAGACACTCTACGAGCTGCTAGGCCGACACTTGCACCTTGGTGAGCGCCATTCCTACACTCTCAGCTCGCTCGAAGCCCCGCACGCGGCAGCAGGGCGTTGGGGAGGGGCGACGCTCTTGGGCCGGTTGAATCAACTTCGATGGCGCGTTCTTCGGGGCTTCGGCAGGGCCTCGAGGCGGGATAGGGACAGGGCGGGACTTTGGAGCTGCCATGCGACTGGTGGCGGATCGAGATCGTACGTCCTGCCGTTCGAGGCGGCGGTTGGCCCTCCCGCAGGCTTTCGAGGTATCTGTGCGCCCACGGCACCGCGACCTTCCGCAGATGTCTGCCCGTCTGGGGCTCACAAACAAAACGCTATCGCTCTCTCTCTCTGATGTTAACTTTACGCTCCTGTCTCGCCAGATCCTCGCCTCGTCGTGTCTCCCACCGCCGCACACTGAGCAAGGAGGAAATTTCGACCATGACTGTCGACCTTGAGCAAAAGCAGCGCGACATTGAAAAGTACGAAGAGTCGATCTACTACTCGGCACGCTATGCGGGTGAGTGGTTCGCGTTTCGGCGGGGCTGAAGATCGAGACTCGAGAGCTGACTCCAACTTCCCCTCCCGTCCCGCAATTCTTCCAGACGACGAGTATGAATACCGGTGGGCGCGCGCAGCCAGCTCTCCGCTGTTACACACGAGTGAAGCTGACACCTTGACGGAACTTGGCGCAGTCACGTAGTGCTGCCGAAAGCGCTCGCCAAGTACCTCCCGAAGGATCGCGTCGCCGAGGAGGACGAGTGGCGCGGGCTCGGGATCCGCCAAAGCCCGGGTTGGTGGAACTACGAGGTGCGCTCGTCCTCTCACTGACCAGGCTACCAAAGGGAGCTTACTGTGCTCGATTTCGTCGCAGCGCCACGCGCCGGAACCGCACATCCTGCTCTTCAAGCGCGTAAAAGATCCGGCCGTTGCCCAAAAGTAGTCGATTCGCCCATCCTGCGCAGCTCTCCAAGCGCGCCTCGATCTCTGTTTTGCCTCTTTTTCGCATGCACGCTATACGCCACGGTTTCTCATTTCCCCCCTTCGCGCCTTTGCAATTTCTCTCTCTCCTCACGACACTCTGCACTCCCCTTTCGCAATTTTCCTATCGTTCCCTTCAGATCTAACCAGACTAAAGTCGTTACTCCTCGCGTCCTGTATCTTCCTCTCCTCGGTATTCTACGCCGCCTCGGCCTTCTGTCCATGCATTCACGATTTTTTTTTTTTGCAAGTTTCGTCCCGTTGGCTGCCGCGGGGTGATCAGACGGCTCTGTGACCAGTTCCGAGCCGCGATAGGACTTTAGGGACTATGTATGTCTGTCTGTATGCAAGCATGTGGGGCTTCGGATGCTTCCGATCCGACGCGTGAGGCAGGTGCGCTCCTTGGACCTTGCGTGAATTCGCTGCTTGCTACGTATAAAGAGGGCACAGAGTCCTGGCGTTTGCTGCTAGAGCTCTCCAAAAGCTTGCGCCTCCGCCGGGCGGGTCGAGGACGCGCAGCGAGCTCCTCGGCTCATCCTCCACCGCCACCTCTGAAACCGCCGCGAACCCACTCGACGGTGCCGTTGCAGCGCTTGACTTTGCAGCTACGAGATCATGGCTAGTACGCACCTTCTCCCTCGGCCATGGAGCCTCCGCGACGCGCGACGCGACCGGATTGTTGGCTGAGCCCGTTCTCGCCCCACCTCCTTGCCTTGCCGCAACAGCGCCGACCCACGCCCCCTCGCCGGATCTGCAGGCCCTCGCCCAGCCGCTGCTCGTGGTCAAAACCGGCGCGAGACCTTCCGCCACGCCTCTCCTCCGTGTTGTCGAGCAACTTCTCCCCGACGCTGCGCCGCCGTCTCCGTCGGTCGCCGAACAACTGATACGTCTCAGCGCGTCTCTGCTGAGCGGGATCGATTCGGGCTCCGAACACGTCAAGGTCCTCGAGCAAACTCTCGCCGCCGTCGACAGCGTCGTCGCACCGCACCTGGACGCCGCGCAGCTCGCCCGCTGGAACCAAGTCGTGGACGGTGCCGCGGCCGGCACGACGTGGCGCCCGCAAGCACTGCAGCTGCACCGTACCTACGTCCAAGAGATTGCGCGCGCGGAAAAAATCTTTGTGCTCTACTCGAACGCTGACTCGTTCGACGACATCGACTGGTCCGGCGTCGTGTGGCACGGCACTCCAGATTTTTCGCGCGAGGTGTTGAGGGCGGTGCGCTGGGCGTGCGGCATGAAGGGCTCCAATCGTCGTCTCGTCGAGTTCACGCCCGAGCAGGTGGCCGAGCGGCTCGACGAGGTGCTCGAGCGTGCGAGGGACGGCAAAGGCACGTGGAACCTGTCGTGGCTACGGGCGGCTGTCGTCGAGATGGAACGCGAGAGACCCGTTCACGTCTGTATCGATAGCGACGTACGAGGCGGTCCTCCGAAGCATCCAAGGTCTTCATCACCCGGTCAGCTGGTGCGGACGCGAACCACACCTTGTGAGTGGTCTGTACGTGGCACATGCGGAGCAAGCAAGGTCGAAAGTGGCGTCGGGTTGCTGCTTCTCAGCCTTCAAGGCGTGGGTGGACGGGAATCGAGGGAAAGCGGGTTGGGCTGCACGTTGGAAGAGGAGCGTGCAGCGATGACATTGTTTCCGCTCGCTGTGCCGGCAGCTGACTATAAAGACGGCTTGGAGCCCAAAAAGCCACAACTCAAACCTGGTTGGAAGGCATTTCCGGGTCGTTTTGCCTCTATGACTGTATCGTAGTGGACAGGTCAACAAAGCAACAAGGGTATAGCGTCATATTTCGCTCTGCGGCTTTACAGGCCCACTTGGTCTAGTAGAATGATACCTCATTTGGGCTATTATAAGCATAGTTTGAGGTGGTCGTCGGTTCAATTCCGGCAGTGGGCCTTTTTTTGCTCTTTTTTTGCTCTTTTTTTTTTTTTTTTTTCCCTTTCTTTTTCCACCCTGACCTGATCGTACAGCATAAGCTGCGGGGTCTCGTCAATACAAAAAGCGCTAGACCCTTTCCAACAGTCACCCCCAACCAGACTCGGAGATCAAGCGGAAAAGGCTACGACGTTCCACGGAGGATCGCTAGCTCGCGCCTCAACCTCTCGTTCTCGAGCTGCACGGCGTGGGTGGTTACACGCGCCCGCAGAGCGGCTTCCTCGGCCTCTCGAACCTGCGCGACGGCGATCTCGGACTCCTCTTCCGCCGTCCGACGCCCCTCTTCCGCCTTCAAGGCGGCTTGTTCCACCGCCTTGAGCTTGACTTCGGCGGCTTCCTTCTCGAGGCGGAGGCGCTCCTTCTCTTCGTGCACATCAGCTTCCGCTTTGATGACGGCGACCTTGTAACGTTCGCGGGCAGCGAGGGATCCGAAACCCTTGTCCAGCGCGATGAGCCACTGCCTGGGCGCGATTTCTGTTTCGACTCTTGCTGCCTCCGGCAAAGTCATTGTCGACTGATCGCGAGCGAGGAGAGAGGAGACAACGGTCGTGTGGGGAATACCCTTGGCGGTCTTGCCGTCTTTGCCGGGCGGACCACCACCAAGTGGGTCGGGAACGACGGGATCCACAGCTCGGTCCGGTCTGCTCGTGTTCGCATGGTCAGCCCCGGAGCAAAGAAGACTGGGAGTAAACTCACAATGCGGCCAAGAGCAAGAAGACCAGGCCGGTCCGCCGTTCCAGTAGCCGCAGCTGTGCGCTCAAGAGTTCAGCGGTTTGCTGCGGTTAAGAAGCGCTACGAGGAGCGGGACACCCACCTTCTGCGTGATGGTCCCGATAGCCTCGACATATTGCTGAGTGCGGCGGCCCTTGTCCTCTTCATACTTTGATGCCATGAGCTCTTTACGGCGGCCTGCAAGGGAGCCGAGAGATGTCAACAACCGATACTTTTTTGCACGCTCGCCAGTCAGCAGTCCATCGACGCACCCTCTAAGGTCCTTGCTCTCTTATAGGTTCGAGTCTGTTGGCGAGGAGGCGTCGCATTCGACAACCTCGCTTCTGGACCGTTTCATGCCTCCTTGCGGCTGAGCAGGCGGACCCGGCGCCGGAGGAGGAGTCAGAGGGTTGTCTGTCCAGCTCGTCGAAGCCCCAGAGAAAGAGACTTACTGTGACGAATGACGGGCTTGTCAGTCCCAAGAGAGCCATCCTGGCCAAAGTGCTGAGCTACGGTCATGTAGACATGACCTTTGCCACCGACCTTTTGGCCAACAGGAGGCCACGGCTTCTCGGTCGAGATGCGGATTTCTTCCACCTCGCCGCCGAGTTGTGGAGGGTTGATGTAGACGACAGCATCGCCGCCAGCAGGAGGTGGCACATCAGCGGGCTGCATGCCTGGAATGAGAAAGATGATGATGATGATGAGGATGGGCGGCCAGACGATGCCCATGAGCGCAGCAGCGGCGACGAGACTCTTGAGCAAAGTAGGAGGATAAGCAAGGAGAACCGCATCCGCACCGTAGCCAGCGCCGGCGCGCGGGCAGTTTAGGCGGAAATTGAGCTAGTCCACGCCGGCGAGCGGGGGGCAAACCTTAAGGAGAAAGGAGTCACCCTTTTAAGGGGCGCATGCCGAGTTTGAGCAAAAGCGCCGCCAGCACAGAGGCCAGGATCAGCGCCAACAAACCGCCGCCAGCAGGTCGCCGTTCTTGCTGCCTCCAGTGCAAAGACCAGCCGGAGCACGACAGCAAAGCGGCTATACTCAGAGAGAGCGATAGCGGAGCGGTCCGAGGAAGTCCGTGGCGGCAGGTGCGAGCTCGACGGACGGCAAGCGAGCTCCGCGGACCTCGAGTTGGCTTCGAGAGAGCAAAAGTCGCCACAGCTCGCCAACGACGGCTCGAGGCGCGTCGGAACAAGAACGGAGAGGACGAGAATGACGAGCACCACCGACGGCAAGCAGTTCCCTTGGAGAGGGAGGCCCTCTTCGAGCCGTAGGAGAGGCGACATGGTCTCGGCGATTTCTTCCGACCGCACGGCGGGGGGGACGACGGACGCTGACGTCCACTCCCCTCACTCCCTTTGCTCGCTCCGCAACCCGCTTGGCGACTCGGTGAGTGATGTTCGAGCCCGATGGCAGCGTACGCTTGTCTCCGCAAGAGGCTGACCAGCAGGTGCAAGCCGCAGATATGGGGCAGGTATCGCCAGAGGGTGAGTCTCTGATGCGGACGAGTCGGATGTCGCTGAGCTGACCGCAGACTTTGGATCAGTGGCCGAAGAGCTGCAGGAAGAGGATCGAGAAGGTGAGCGCCGGCTTGTCCAACTCGGATCATCCGCGTGCTTATTCGGTCGTCTTGCTTCTCTTGCAGACGACGCGGTGCACGATCACGAGGCGCATGTCGTCAGGCTCGGGACACGCTGTCGAGGGACCAGCAAGGTAAGCCTTCTTGCAATGGCCAGGTCCCGCGTCGAACCGCGATTGACTGCTGCGCTCGTACACATTGCCGCAGATCATCCCACACGGCGACCCGAGTGTAGTCGGAAGCATGACGGCGAGAACGGCAGCGGTGGCGGTGCAGCAGGGTGTTGTCTCTTGATAGACGACGATCACATCACAGCCCGTCAAAGTGGGCGGGTCTGTTTGTGCTGTAGCACTCCCAGCCATGGAATATTGAGACACTGGTCGTCGTCGGTGCCGAGAGATGTTCTCATCGCTTGGCGGCGGCTCCGGGTGAAACTCGAGGCTTTCCTTACGACGACTGACTCGCAAGCTGTTCACGAGTAGCTTATTCTATGGGCACGCGCATGATCTGCATGCCTACCTAGCGACGCCTCCGCATCTCCCCTGCTCAACAAAACATGCCGCCATCTCCGGACTATTCGCCGCTGCTGCCCAACGAACACAGCGACCACGCTGCCGGAGGGAAGGAGCACGTGTTCCCGCCTCCGGAACGGCCTACACAGCGCTCTCAACGTCGCCTGCCTCGCCAACGACCGCCGCTGTGGATTCCGGACCCGTTCTCCCTCCGAAGCGGCTCCACCTCGCCGACGGTCGATCGAGATGGCACCTCGCTCGACAGCGACACCGACAGCGACAGTGGCGAGGATACGGTGTACGGCTCAGAATCAGAAGAGACTGGCAGCGAGGAGAAGCGCAAAGCCGGGTCCGGACCTTTCAAGAACGAGTCAACGTCGACGACCGACGAGGAGGACGGCTGGGAGTTTTCGCTCGCCGCGCTGCAAAAGGACCGCACCAGAGTACGCGCATCTGTCACTCCTCCTGTGCGTGAACCCGCTTAAAGCTCACACGTGCCACTGTCCCTCCTCGCAGCGCCGCCGTCGCCTCCTCGTCCTGTTCCCAGCCTTCCTCGTCTTGACCCTCTTCTTCGTCCTCGCGCTGGCCAACCTCTTCGGACCCTCGTCGGGACACAATCGCTTCTATGGCGCATCCGCGAGCAAACAGCGCATGTCGCTTGACGAGGTGTTGAGCGGGACGTTCTACCCCGAAACGAAACGGGTCGAATGGGTCGCGGCGCCAGCGGACAGCACCAACTCTGGTGAGCAGCGCGGTCGTCGAGCATGCTTCTCGAGCTTTGAGCCTCATGGGGCGAGGCTACAATCACCCGCCGACGCTGATCCGATACCACCTGACTGACAGCGCAAGACGGATTCTACGCTGAGCGGACTCAGGACGGCTCGATCGTCCTCTCCAACTTGTTCGAAAACTCGTCGCGCACGCTCATCGACGGCGCCGACGTCACTGCTGTGCGTGATCTCTGCCTTTTGTGCTAGCGATTGTCGCGTGTAACTGGCGCGAAACCGAGGGCGACAAACTGAAGAAACTGGTGCACAGCCCGACGGATCCCGTCTGCGCTGGTCGCGCTATCAGTTGAGCGCAGACGGGCAGTATGCCTTGCTCGATACGGACTGGACCAAAGTGAGTCGAGTTGCATTCTCTTGAAACCCCTTCTCTCTCTCTCTCTCTCTCTCTCTCTCTCTCTCTCTCTCTCTCGACTCGGACGCGAGAATTTTTTACTCACTTGAGCACATGCTCTATCTGCAGGTCTGGCGATACTCGACCCTCGCCAACTTCTACTTGCACCGCATCGCCTCCGGTGACTCGACAATCTCCCAACCACGAACCCACCCCATCTTAAAACCCTCCTCACCGCCTCTCACTTCGCTCGCACTCTTCTCCCCGACCCAGCACCACCTCGCCTACGTCCACGCCAACGACCTCTACATCTTACCGGCGAGTAGGATTGACATGGACCCGAAAGACCGAGAGGAGGGCTGGGAGGGAGAGGCGATCCGGATCACGAAGGATGGGAGTCAGACGGTGATGAGTGGGAGGCCTTCGTGGGTGTACGAGGAAGAGGTGGGTCGGCCGGACTTGCCATACTGTCGGACGAGCGCTCCGAAGCTCAAGGTCGTGCGCCCTCATCCGCTCCTGACCTGGGATCGTTCGCTCGCAGGTCTTCTCCTCCGACTCGACCCTTTGGTGGTCCCCCTCCTCGTCACATCTCGCCTTCATCTCGTTCGACGAATCCGAAGTTCCTCTGTATGAATATCCGATTTACAACACGAGTCCGAGCGAAGCCGCTGCCGATGCAGGTATCGACGGATGGGAATACCCGAGCGAGGTCGGCGTGCGGTATCCCAAGGTACGCTCGAGCGCAACAAAAGTCCTGTGGCTCTTTCTCGAGGACAGCTCTCTCTGCTTCTTCGCTGAAAGCCTGATCCGCTGTGTTTCCCGTCGTCGTACAGCCCGGCTACCCGAACCCGAGCGTCACGGTCCGCGTCTTCTCCCTCGCGCGCTACCTCTCCCTTCCCAACAGCCTCTCGACCGACGAACGCCGCTCCTCTTCGATCTTGACGCTTCGACTTTCGCGTCCCTTCAACCCTGAAGACGAAGGCGAAGTGGTCACCGAAGTGGCTTGGATCGGACCGGACGAGTTGCTCGTTCGGATGACG